AATGGGTTCCATATTCTCGCAGCCATTTTAACCAGAATCCATCTAAGTGAAAAGCTGCAGCCTTATCGGGATGTTCTGAAAACTTGCCAGAGAAACATCTCATTATTCTCCCAGCATTTCGGTTCAACACATCCGTTTAGAATTGCAAATTGAGATCAAAGAAGCTTGTGTGTGTTTGAACTGTATTTCTGTCATCATAATTATCAACATAATAAGGCAGCGACAGTTACAAATGCATTATAATCTATTGCATAGTACCGTACGGAAGACCAATTAATACAAATGTTTATCTTTCATTAAAAAGGCAGCCATAATTTCAATGAGCAAAATAATAGATTGGGTAAGATGGCAGCAATTCTCCCTCATAAGGAAGTCCTCAAGAGTTCTTTTTATGTATCATTCTAGAGTAACTCAACTTAGATCTAAATGTATAATAAGGCAGCATAACTCTTGAATGGAAGGGTTCATTTTCTTCCTGTATGCTTTGCACAACTGTCTTTTCCTTCCTATATGTATTATATTGTATGTGTACGAGTTTTCAAAGGTCTAAATACTCTAAAGTGACCAGGCACCATCTTATCCTAGAAATGGAATGAGCACAAGATGGTTTGCTGATTTGTGTTTAAAGCATAATAAAATATGTGAAGAAGAGGAAGAGGAAGAGGAAGAAGCAGAAGCAGAAGCAAAAGAAGAAGAATGAGCACAAGACTGGGAAATAAGGGGCATCTTACAGGATTATCCTCGGGGACACTTCCTTCCTTCCTATATTTATACTCTGCTCTTCTCACCCCGAATGATGGCAAAAATTCAATGCCACATTGTTGTTCATTTGTTCAGTCGTCTCCGACTCTTCGTGACCTCATGGACCAGTTCGCGCCAGAGCTCCCTGTCGGCCGTCACCACCCCCAGCTCCTTCAAGGTCAGTCCAGTCACTTCAAGGATGCCATCCATCCATCTTGCCCTTGGTCGGCCCCTCTTCCTTTTTCCTTCCACTTTCCCCAGCATAATTGTCTTCTCTAGGCTTTCCTGTCTCCTCATGATGTGGCCAAAGTACTTCAACTTTGTCTCTAGTATTGTATGTATAATGCCACATTATACATACAATAATAAATATAACATATCAAAGTATAAAACTGTCAAAACATATAAACACAATAATGCAGAATAAAAAATGCATGTAATGTCGCAAAAGAGGGGAAGAGGAAAGATCCAGATACAGCTATTGATCACAGACATGACAAAAGAGTGAGCAGCTGGATCAATGACTTTTAGCTTGGGTAGCCGTGAGTTTTCCGGTCTATATGGCCATGTTAAAGAAGCATTCTCTTTTCGTTTTCTGCTTGGTTGGGGTATTTTGTGAGGCCAGCAAACTGGCTGGAGCCAATTCCCATTTATTGTGATGGTGCAAGAAAAGAGAAATGTGTGGTGCTTATGCAACTTGGTGCCAGACCCTGGAGGAGAAGACCTACTTGTTTCTGGAATTAGGGAGGCATGGCACAAGGGGACCTCTAGATGAAATTCATCCATTCCTCATTTTTTGGGGGTCCCTTGTTTGATAACACATATTATTGAGCCATGGCTATTAAAGGGGTGTCAAACTGCACTAATTCTACAGTGTATATGCACCCAAAGAGTTCTGGAAAATTGAAAGAGGACATTTTCTTTGGTCCTAATAATGGTATAGCCTGATTGTGAAGTTTGTTTCTACCCAGAGAATAAAAGATGCACTGAAAAAGAAAAAGAACCCCAGAATAAATCAGAAAAGCGGCTTTCTGATCACGGCAGCGCAGAGTTCAGTGTGCACATACTCTGAATATGGCTCAAGTAATAACACTTATTGCTGCCTCTTCATGACATATCATGAATCACAAGTGTTACTGAATTAATGCTTCAGCCTCAAGAATGAAACACTGCATAAAAAAATCTTTATTTTTAAAAAAATCTTTCCAGCTATCAAAAGACAGTATATAGCTCACAGAAGTGGAATCTTACACCTAACTATCTAGCCTTTTTACTTCATCAAAAGGTTTAGATATGCTTCCCTGTCTTTCTCAATAATAATAAAAATACATGATCCACCTTTGTTGCTGAATTTAATAGCATATAATTTTGAGAAGTGGTATTGATCATTTCTGAACCAGATAAACGTAAGCATCAGCAGTCTTTCCCTCCACAGTTTGTATATTATTCTCTCAGTATTTTGCTTTCTTATTCATTCAACATAGACTTCCAGATTGAAATGGAAAGTAGAACATAAAGCTTTCAGCCCTGTAACTCAAAAACATGTGTTGTATTTTTAGAAGCTCTCTCACTTTTCCATAAGGATAAGGAAATATAATATAGGGTGCTGGAATGAGAAGACGGTCCATGTTCAGCATACTGTCTTCTTATCTTGTGCTGAATTAAGCATCAAGAATAAATCAACCCACAATTAGAAGACAAATGTTTAGCTTACTTAAAGTTCACTGCAATATATAATCTATGAATTTTACTTATATTACCTTTGGAAAATGTGACTTGATTTTAATGTACCACAGCCTGCAATGCTGTGATAACACAAGTAGACCTCAATTAATGAAGTTAATGTACTGTATTCCTAGGCATTTCTTCTTTCATAGAAACTTTGGCACTGCTATATAGAGCAGTTCAAAATTGCATCCTATGGCTAGAGTAAACTAATACAATGCAGGTTAACTGCACTGCATGAGTGTACACTCACCATATAATGCAGTTTCAAATTGTATTATAGGGCAATGTCGATGGGACCTTTGGTATCAGAGGCAGAAATATCATAGACTAGCTATAGGTTCCCATTGAAGAAGAATGGTTCAGTATCTTTCAGCAAACTTTTAAAATAAAAAAATAACAAATGAAATGGGGTGCATCTACACTGCAGAATGAATGCAGTTTGGTACCACTTTTACAGCCATGGCTCAATGCTATGGAATCCTGGGAGTTGTAGTTTTGGTGAGGAACCATTTGACAGAGAAGGCTAAAGTTCTTAGTGAAATTACAACTCTCAGGATCCCATAGCATTGAGCCATGGCTGTAAAAGTGGTACCAAACTGCATTCATTCTAGTGTGGATGTAACAGTAAAATAATTAAGAGCACTGGCTTTAGAATTATGTCAAGCAACACCTGTAAAGGTTGGGTGAAGAAACACTCTCTCTTAATGTGGAAAATCCTGGGAATTGTGGTTTTGCAAGGCCTTCTTTTCGCAAAAGGCTGATGCCTTGCTGGACTATAATTCCCCATTATTCCACAGCATGGAGTCATGGCAGTTTAAGTGGTGCCAAACTGCATTCGTTCTATAGCACCCCAGACACGGAAGCCTGTTCGGTGATCACAGGTATATCACATTCTCTCAGCCTCAGAGGAAGCCAAAGGCAAATTTGTTCAAATGTAATAAGGTCACCATAAGTTGGAGGAGCCCCGATTGTGCAATGGGTTTAACACTTGTGCTGGCAGGACTGAAGACCGACAGGTCGCAGGTTCGAATCCGGGAGAGGTGGATGAGCTCCCTCTATCAACTCCAGCTCCTCATGCGGGGACATGAGAGAAGCCTCCTACAAGGATGATTAAAAAAAACATCAAAACACCCAGGCGTCCCCTGGGCAATGTCCTTGCAGACGGCCAATTCTCTCACACCAGAAGCGACTTGCCATTTCTCAAGTAGCTCCTTACACACACAAAAACCCATAAATTGGAAAGGACTTGAAGGCATATTACATCAAAATCTTCCCACACTAGTTCAGCATAATTGAGGATGGAATCACACACAGGCTTTGCTGAGTTGCAAGTAGAGGCACATAGGTCCCTTCCACACAGCCCTATATCCCAGAATACCAAGGCAGAAAATCCGACATTATCTGAGTGTGGACTCAGATAACCCAGTTCAAAGCAGGCGTTGTGGGATTTTCTGCCTGGAATATGTCCAGAGAAGGGCGACTAAAATGATCAAGGGTCTGGAGAACAAGCCCTATGAGGAGCGGCTTAAAGAGCTGGGCATGTTTAGCCTAAAGAAGAGCATGCTGAGAGGAGACATGATAACCATGTATAAATATGTGAGAGGAAGTCACCGAGAGGAGGGAGCAAGCTTGTTTTCTACTTCCATGGAGACTAGGATGCAGAACAATGGCTTCAAACTACAAGAAAGAAGATTCCATCTGAACATGAGGAAGAACTTCCTGACTGTGAGAGCCGTTCAGCAGTGGAACTCTCTGCCCCAGAGTGTTGTGGAGGCTCCTTCTATGACAGCTTTTAAACAGAGGCTGGATGGCCATCTGTCGGGGGTGCTTTGAAAGCAATTTTCCTGCTTCTTGACAGGGGGTTGGACTGGATGGCCCATGAGGTCTCTTCCAACTCATTCTATGATATTCTGGGCTATAGAGCTGTGTGGAAGGGCCCTCTGTCCACACTGCCATATCATACAGTTCAATGCAGATAATGTGGGACTTTATTCATCTGTGTGGAAGGAGCCTATCTTCATGTAGAATCAATGAGGCCGCTTGTTCTCAGCAGAAGTGGCTATTTGGGCCACGCGGCAGCGCCTCCTGCAGGGCGCTCGCGGGAGAGGCAGCTCAGCCAGGAGTCACGTGGTATGACTCTAGGAAAACAACCTTGGATTAGAATTCCTTGTGTTGGCCTTCAAGAACTAATGGCGGTGCCATACGTTCCATGAGGTTTCTTTAGGGAAGGACAACTCAGAAGTGCTTTTCCCAGCTGCTTCCTCTGAAATACTGCCTACAGCACCTGGTATTCATTAAATGAATACACCAGGACCGACCCCTGCTTAGTTTCTAAGGCCCAGAGGGTGAATTCATAAGTGGAGAGGAAAGAGCCTTGAAGTTCAGCATCGCTTCTAAGAGAGAGCGAAGTAAAGAAGCCGCACTTCCCGCCGCGGCCTGCAGGGGGCGCTGCCTCCTAAGTGGATTGCAGCATCATCGCAGAGGAGCTGCCTGGTGGATTCTGTGACTGGCAGCGAGGCCAAGAGGATGGCATGGAGGCCTTCGACTGCCAATCAGCCAACCTGGACAGGTCCAGCGGGCCCTTGTTCTCTGGAAGGCGGGCGCCAGCAGGTGAGGTTCCCTGCTAGGGCAAGCCCTTCCTCTCTCCTGGCTTTTCTAATGGGCTGAGAGAATGTGGCGTGCATCAGGCTTCCATGACAAAGGACACTGCTTGGAATGAATGCTGCTTGACATCACTTGGGATCTCTCATTGGAGTTATTGTGTATTCGAAGGCTTTTGTGACTGGAACCACTGGGTTGCTGTGAGCTTTCTGGGCTGTATGGCCATGTTCCAGAAGCATTCGCTCCTGACGTTTCACCCACATCTATGTCAGGCATCCTCAGAGGTTGTGAGGTGTGTTGGAAACTAGGCAAGTGAGGTGTATATATCTGTGAAATGTCCAGGGTGAGAGAAAGTGCTCTTGTCTGCCTGAGGCAAGTGTGAATGTTGCAGTGGACACCTTGATCAGCATTGAATAGCCTTGCAGCTTCAAAGCCTGGCTATTCTCCCAACAAAGGATTCTCCCAGGCAGGAAGCTGCCAGGCTTTGAAGCTGCAAGGTGATTCAGTGCTAATCAAGGTGGCCAATTGCAACATTCACACTTTCCTCAGGCAGACAAGAGTTCTTTCTCCCACCGTGGACATTCCACAGATATATAAACCTCGCCTGCCTATGTTCCAACAGACCTCATAATCTCTGGGTACCAGTATTAAAAAAAAACCTCTAAAATCAGGACAGTAAATAAAGAGGAGCACTCAAAAAACAGCGGAATTCCACACATGAATCAATCAGGGCTAGCTGACACTCCCAACAAAGGTTTCCCCAGGCAGCAACCAGTTAGGCTTTGAAGCTGCAAGGCCATTAAATGCCAATTGCAACATTCACACTTGCCTCAAGAAGACAAGAGTTCTTTCTCCCACCCTGGACATTCCACAGATATATAAACCCCAATTGCCTAGTTTCCAACAGACCTCACAACCACTGAGGATGCCTGCCATAGATGTGGGCGAAACGTCAGGAGAGAATGCTTCTGGAACATGGCCAGACAGCCCAGAGAACTCACATATTTTTCTCCCACCTTGGGCATTCCACAGATATATAAACCTCACCTGCCTAGTTTCCAATAGACCTCACAACCTCTGAGGATGCCTGCCATAGATGTGGGTGCAACGTCAGGAGAGAATGCTTCTGGAACATGGTCATAAAGCCCGGAAAACTCACACTGGAGTTACAGTTTTAAAAGGTCTTTAGCCCACTACCAAAGAGCATTGATGATGATTCCACAACATTGCCATGGCAGTTGACGTGGTGTCAAACTTCATTACATCTGCAATGTAGACAAAACCACACACAAGGAAAGAATCAGGAAGTGCCAACTCCTCTCAAAAAGTTCAGCAATTTCAATGGTGTCTTGGTTTGGGTATTCGAACAGAACTCTTGGAGACAAGGCCCTCCAAGTGTTTTGGACTTCAACTCCCACAATTCCTAACAACCGGCTATTAGGAATTGTAGGAGTTGAAGTCCAAAACACTTGGAAGGCCCAAGGTTGCCAATGCCTGGTCAACATTGAAGAATTAATGCAGTTTGACATCACTTCAACGACCATGGCTTCATATCCTGGACTCCTGGGAGTTGTAGTATTACAAGGTACAGGCAGTCCCCGAGTTACAAACATCTGACTAAGGGCCCTTTCAGATCGGCCCTATATTCCAGGATCTGATCCCAGGTTTTCTGCTTTAAACTGGATTATATGAGTTTGCATTGCCAGATAATCTGGGATAAACCAAAAACCAGGGATCAGATCCTGGGGTATCGGGCCTGTCTAGAAGGGCCCTTACAAACAACTCACATTTAAGAACAGGGGTGAGATAACAGGAAGTAAGATAAATCTACCCTTAGACAGGGAAATTCCTTTCCTGGAAGAGTTACTATCATGGGGAAAAGGGGTCTCCACTGAGGGTCCTTCCAGACAGGCCATACAGCCCAGAAAACTCACAGCAACCCAATTCCTTGCTACTTGAGCTAAAAAAAACCCCACTGATAACATATCCCTGTATTTCTGTGAACAGGATAGTAGAAAACATACTTCTTTTTATTATTATTTCTTTCCAAGTAAGGTTCTTTAACGTGATTATTGCAAGCATTTTCTTTATGTACAATAATTAGCATTTGTTCAAAACCTGTGACAAATGAAAGTACCTTGGGAAAGGGCAAGGCTGAGGTCCTCCTTATTTTAAATACGTTCCAATCTTGTTTTGCCTTTATTGCCCAAATATATTTTCTTCTGTTGTGTTCTTGAAACCTCCCATTCATCAGAACTTAATGGAATATCTCAGCTCCTCTTCTCACAGTGAGTTAAGTGTTGAACTTTGGTGTAATATTATAATTGTTACTTGTAAAATTTATGTAAATACATTTGCATAAAAAGTGGTAGTTGTGCCTGGACAACATTTATACCTATGATTTAAATCACAAAGACAGATCTGGTGGGGAATCTGTTCATTGTAAATACATCTCTGGGGTGTAATTGTATGCCTTGGAAGAAGAGGTTCTTGAATTTACTTAGATAGAAATGTGTGCAGTAGACGATGCTTAATTTGCAATGCTGAGGAGACACTACTCTTGTGTGGGCTGTGGATCTGTCACAGTGATGTTGTTATTCTATACTTATGGATAAGTATCGAAATGTTAATAAAAAATCAACCCCAAAACCGGGACCAACTGATCCACGAATCAGTGTGAGTGTTGTACTTAATTGCTTTTTTAAAAAAGGAAACAATCTCCGTCTCTTAGGACCCCTCCACATCTGAATAAAATTCTACATTTTCTGCTTTGAACTGGAATATATGGCAGTGTGGACTCAGATAATCCAATTCAAAGCAGATAGTGTGGATTATCTGATTTGATATTCTGGATTATACAGCTGTGTGGAAGGGCTTTTAGTCCATCTCAAGAGAACCAAAAAGAAGCACAGGCCCATTTTATTCTCTCTGCCTTGACAACGTTTCTGGATTATTTTTTTCATGCCAAAAAAGGCACAGAAATTGTGGAAAAAGGCAGTGAGGCAGCATTGACACTTTCCCATCTCCACAAAATAACTCTTGACACAGGACATATCAAAATCCATAATTTTAGCCCCAAATCTGCCCTCGACTAAGACATGAGGTAAATTTATATATGAGTACATACCAAGCCACCTTATCTCTCTCTTGAGGAATCTGTATAAGAACCAAGTAGCAACAGTAAGAACAGACCATGGAACAACAGACTGGTTCAAGATTGGGAAAGGCGTACGGCAGGGTTGTATACTTGTATGCAGAACACATCGTGCGATGTCAGGGCTTGATGAATGCAAGGCTGGGGTTAAAATTGCTGGAAGAAACATTAACAACCTTAGATATGCAGATGACACCACTTTGATGGCTGAAAGCGAGGAGGAGCTGAGGAGCCTTCTAATCAAGGTGAAAGAAGAAAGCGCAAAAGCTGAGTTGCAGTTAAACATAAAAAAAAAACCCAATATTATGGCAACAAGAATGATTGACAACTGGGAAATAAAGGGAGAAACATGGAGGCAGTGACAGACTTTGTATTTCTAGGTGCAAAGATTACTACAGACGCAGACTGCAGCCAGGAAATTAGGAGACGCTTACTTCTTGGGAGGAGAGCAATGTCCAATCTCAATAAGATAGTGAAGAGTAGAGACATCGCACTGGCAACGAAGATCCACATAGTTAAAGCAATGGTATTCCCCATAGACACCTACGGATGTGAGAGCTGAACCATAGGCAAAGGAAAATAGATGCTTTTGAACTGTGGTGTTGGAGGAAAGTTCTGATTGCCTTGGAGAGCGAGAAGATCCAACCAGTCTATACTTCAGGAAATAAAGCCGACTGCTCATTGGAAGGAAGGATATTAGAGGCAAAGATGAAGTACTTTGACCACACCATGAGAAGAAAGGAAATCTTAGAGAAGAGAATGATGCTGGGGAAAATGGAAGGAAAAAGGAAGAGGGGCCGACCAAGGGCAAGATGGATGGATGGCATCCTTGAAGTGACTGGATTGACTTTGAAAGAGCTGGGGGTGGTGACAGCCGACAAGGAGCTCTGGCGTGGGCTGGTCCATGAGGTCACAAAGAGTTGAAAACGACTGAACAAATTAACAACAACAACATACAGTATATATGATGCACACGTAGCATTGTGCCACTTATAACAATTCTATTGAAATAGAAATTAGTATTATTATAACTAGATGGCTGTACAGTGCCATTTGTAAAATGTGCCTTACCCGTGCTGTTGAAAATATGTCAGTCTAATTATAATTGATGGGGTCAATATCTTAGTAGATGTTGTGGAGGACAGCAAGACAGCAGTGACTGTAAATAATTTGTCATTGTCATGTGAAACTTTAATTAACTAGGCGATCATGACAAATACGTTGGGAAGAGCATGGATGTGTTGTTAGTTATGTTTTGTTGTTGTTTGCTACTTGAAGTTTTTTGAGGTTTTTATATTAGGGCCTCATCTGCACTACCAAATAATACAGTTTCACTGCATTTACTTTGATTACATGGTATCGCTTTTCAGCCTTTTGGCTAAGATCAAGTGTGGAACTTCATTATATGGCAGTGCAGACTCATAATCCAGTTCAATGCAGTTTGACTGCATTATGAAATTGCATTGTATTACAGTGTAGATGAGGCCTAGGTCCTCCAGAACATTTCCCACCAGATGTTGATGATAGAATTGGACTGGAAGACTCAGAGATTTCCCAGGTTTAAAAAAGCAGTTTCTGTATACGTTTTTTTTCCCACTTTGCAGGAGTTCTGCATATCTAAAACCATTGACTATATGCGGTCGATTGCATGTCCTATTATAATTTTTGGTTTAACAAATGCTTCCAATGAAAAGAACAGAATATGAGGTTGCTCTGATTTCAATATTAGCCACACATTCACACACACTACCTGTAGAAGTGTTTTCAGACAAGACTTTTGTGCTTGGGTTGGTAGCTCTAAAAATCTTCTATTCAGATGAACCCTTAGGTTCTGCCTTAATATCCTCTTCTGAAT